CGAAACGCTTAGTTTTAAAATTCAAAAAAGGTTGTTAAAGGTGTATGTTTAGAGCAGGGCGCTGTACGGGTGCGAAATATGTACAGTGGGTGCGGCGGAAAAGAAAAGGTTAGAACAGAGGACTCTATGGAAATCCATATGAAATAGGCGAGATAGGTTAGTAGGACACCTTCTCAGGTAGAAGGTCTAGTTAGAGATATATTAGAGACAGGAACGGCAGTTAGGAGTGGTAGAGGAAGATCTAGATTAGATTACTGTTCGTAGATAGTTAAGGATGTGGGATGTTCTAGTGTTAGGAAAAGGCGAAGGTTAGCTCAGGACAGGAAAGTGTGGAAGTGCGTGTCCAACCAGTCTTAGGACTGACGACCTTATTATTATGAAAAGCGAATTGAATTTTTACTTTTGCATAATGATATTCATTTTTATTTCAAAACTGATATGATGGACGTACAGTATTTTGTTATTTATATGAAAAGGTGGCTGAAGATATTTGTAGAAAATTTCCTTTACTACATTGTACTTTTAAAAAGATGATGTCCTTTTGACGATTGCATGTAACAGAATATCCCTGTGTTTGGTTCTGTATCGGCCACTGGTGTATGTCATTGTGTAAAGCTTTCAGTGCTCTATTATGTTTGGATAGTTTTCAACGCTTTTCCTTACCGTGTCATATTTTTGACATTTCTTGAAAACAAAACAAATCTCCTTGTCCATTTAATATTTCATACAACAAAGGAAAGAGTAAAGATATACCTATGAAAAAGCTCACAATAGAAATGTTTTAGGAAGCAGAAGCACCTAATACTGAGAGACACCAAATCAATCACGAATATACGCTGATAGTTTCCTATTTACTAGCATAATGGCGTTACTAATTAATATCTTATATTTTTGAATTGATAACTCAAAACTGGGGCAACTTTCCGACTGGACTCAGCCAAGCTGTTGAGCTATAAACTGGAGTGAATGTGGTGGGTTCCGATATTAAACTATAGCATCTTATTTGTATAAAATAATCGAAAAATACCGTTGTTTACTAGGAAAATTTATTAGTAAAAATGGAAAGATACGGGAGCGAATCAAATATAAACCAGACATTTGGACCTGAGTGCGCAATATTAAAGTGTGAGTTTTTTGCTTCGTGAGGTGTTGGGTCGGTGATGTCGTAAGTTCGAGAAGCAGGTGAGCGACCTCGTCTGTTTCCTCGGTACTCATCGTGAAGATGTCTGAATAGGTTTTCTCGTCAATTGCACAGCGTATTTGTTGCGACGGAAGGTGTAAAACTAACAGAACCCCTGAGGACATTGACTGTACAGTTCAAGCATGAGACGCATTCACGAACTAAAGTATTTGCATGGCATAAACAATTCGTGGAGGGTCGTGACATTAAAAACGAGAGCCATAATCGCCTACCCCGTATGCACGTCATCAATGATAATATCCTCCGTGTTAAACAACTTCTTGAGAGTTATTGGCGTCTGACCGCCAATGAGATTACATCTAAGGTTAGTATAAGTTGTGAGCGTCTCCTAGCGAAATTTTAGGAAAAAGGGGACTCGCTTATGACTCGCGTTATCACCTGCGATAAAACGTGGGTGCACCATTGTACCCCCAAGTCGTAACAACCGAGTAAGGAGTGGAGACTGCAAGTCAAGTCGCGGTTGGCCTAGAGGTTTAGACCATTGCTTAGCATTCGGGAGGACGCCGGTTCGATTCCGGGTTTGTCTGCCTTGATCCAAGTTTCTCTGTGGTTTCCTTGGATCACTTAGACAAACGCTTGGGCAGTAATATTTCAGAGATAATCTTTCATTCTCTTCCGTCTTCATTTCGACCGCCTTATATTTCTCACTCGAATTACTGGCTGGTGGGAATGAAACAGTGAAAAGTTTTAAAAGTTTTATCTGGCAGCTACGGCTTATTTTTGAGCTGCATTTCGATTTTTTGCATTTACTGCGATATGTGAAGTAAGATTAGACAAGCATATCGCCGCGAACGACGTAGCTAATCGATGAGAGATGTGAAACTTCTTCATGAAAATGCTTACCCCCTTATAGCAATCAGAGAAAAGTTGGAGCGATTTGGCGGAGAAACAGTTAAACACCATCCCTGCAACTCATCGCCGCAAAAACGACGTGTCCTATTGATGAGAGATGTGAAACATCTTCATGACAATGCTCGTCCCCATACGGCAATCCTGATTATAGAAAATTGGAGCGATTCGGCGAAGAGACAATTGAACACCTTCCCTGCAACTCATCGCCCCAAAAAGGAGGTGTCCTATTGATGAGAGATGTGAAACATCTTCATGACAATGCTCGTCCCCATACGGCCATCCTGATCAGAGAAAAATTGAAGCGATTGGATAGAAAGACAATTGAATACTATCTCTGTAGCTTATCGCCGCAAAAGCGACATGCCCTATTGACGAGAAAAGTAAAACTTCTTCATGACAATGCTCATCCTTATACAGTAATCCTGATCAACGAAAAACTGGTGCTATTGGACGGAGAGACAATTGAATACTATCTCTGTAGCTTATTGCCGCAAAAATAACATGCCATATTGATGACAGAAGTGATACTTCTTCATGACAATCATCATCCCCATACACCAATTCTGATCAGAGAAAAATTGGAACAATTGGGCGGAAAAACAATTGAACACCCTCCCTGCAGCTTATTGCCGCAAAAACGACGTGCCGTATAGGTAAGAGAAGTGAAACTGCTTCATGACAATGCTCGTCACCATACGGCAATTCTGATCGGAAAAAAATTGAAGTGATTGGGCTGAGAGACAGTGGAACACCCTTCCTATAACTCAGGCCTGCCCTCTGTGGGTTTCACCTATTTAACCTTTTTGATGAAGCCCTAGTGATGCGAAATTCCAAAAATGAAAATAAAAAGTCTCGTTTTTATTTGGTTCGCCCTCGTATAAAGTGGGAAATGTTACTCTGCCAAAAGTATTTCTTATCGTTGTCATTTAAAAGGTTTTGACTGTTCATTAATACAAAATTAATTATAATTTCACCGCAAATGAAAATTCTGCCGGACTACCTTATCGGCTAATTGTCATTCAATTTTTTCCTTTTCGTTCTTAACTTTAAAACTTGAGCAAAAGAACAAATAAAAAAGTGAGTGTTCTTGACAAGAGAAGTCCTTGACAAGAGGCAGGATTTTTTTTATTTCTGTCGGCCCTTTGTTTGTTAAATAAAATTCAGTTCACGTAATCGACTTGAAAAACACGGTTCAATCGGTACACGAACACGTGAATAAGGGTTCCTCTCAATTTACCCATCTTATATCATTCACAGAAAATGTTAGAGAAAAACACAGATTTTAGGGATACTTTTCAACGTTTGGAACGTATCAAATAAATAATCAAAATATCCAAAAAATTACACTGTTATTACATTCATAAATGCATATATCCAAACTGACTGGCGTGTAGTCATGAACATTCTTTGTTGCAATAGTTATTTTGAAACTAATTTAAAGAAATCTTTTCAACGAATGTCCATTTCCTAAATATTAAATGTTTCATTTTGTCACATTTACCTGATCAATATTCAAACTACAGTAGAACCTCGATAAGATAAAGACCAACGGAAACGTAAAATAATTTAAGTTATTGAGGTTTCTACTTACTAAGGGTTTACGTTTAAGTTTTAAAATAGTGGATTCCCAGTGACTTAGCAACCTCTTCAGCATTTTCCTTTAGCATAGGTCCACTAACACTAATGTTTTTACATATTTCTACACTGTTTAAACCATATAAACAAGCATTTTTCTAAATTAGGAAATTCAGCAATTCTTCGTCTTTTACATAGGACTTTCTCCCGATTCAAACTACTTTTCACTGCTTACTGAGGTGCGATGCCCAAATTATTCGTTTAAGTTACAGAGGGTTTTTATTTTAAGTAATAGAGGCTTTGGACCCCGAGGTGAAGGGAACACAAAATTTTATGAATTTATAGAGGTTATTACGAGGTTTACGTTATCAAGGTTCTACTATAGTATGTCTTTCAGTTAAATATTATCACATTATCAGAAAATGTCATACCGCAAACGAACACTTAGATAGGATAAATAGGGACGTCATTGTAAATTGTGCGAGATACAGAACCGCAAAACTGAACCTTCAGACACACAGTGGCGTATCAAATCAAGAAGTCATCCTAATCCGTTAAAATATTGAGCCCTCAAAATTAAATTAGAGGAAAAGCAAGATTTTCCTGAATCAAAACAAATACAATGATGTTACATAAAATACCACAAATGGGGCGGTAAACGCCATCTGTAGTACGATGCTACATTTTAGAATTACGTATTCTCAACAAGGTCCATTTAAATACATGGATATCTACTTGCTGAAACGAAATCCCGGTGTAGCTCGCCACTACGTGATAGGCACGTTACTATAATCGAATAAAATAATTCGAAGTTACCGCGCCATTTGTGGTATTTTATAAAACGTGCAGGTAAAATTGGTCTGTGTTTTGCCGAAGCTGTCTGCGACGCGCTGATGAGATCCAACAAGATAGAAATCGCGATCCGCGTCTGGCAGTTTCAACAGAACACAGACCACTTCGAATTATTTTATTCAATGATGTTACAGATTTATTGTAATCATATAAATATTTGAAAACTCCGAACAGTGATAAAAAGCTTAAGTTGTAGAGATGCTTAATAAACTTTAAAGGCCAAATTTGACTTAAGAGTTAAAGAAATCATTAAAGCAAGATGCAGAATAAAAACAGTTTTTAAAAGATATTTTAAGACAGTGTACGCGCAAAACCCAAAACGTACTTTACGAAGCAGTTTATTAATTAATTTTGAGCATTCTTAAATTCCACGTCAGACATATATTGTGGCCTACATTTTAAACCACAAAATTTACTTTCGTTAAATATAAATCACGCAAAGTACAGAAAAAAAGCATTTCAACCTTCTGCGTGGAATACCAGAAGCAATTTATTACGAACAGTAATTTGTCTCACCAACCTTTTTGGCTATGGCAGCATAAGCTGGCTTTCCCGCTGCTTTTCCGAAGGCTATACTTGAATCAGACGGAAAAGGTAAACGGTCAAGGGAGCTCCATTCCTTGTCTTTTCTTTTGACAGTGTAGTAACGATAGATTACAATTGTCATGGCAACAATTAAGGCCATACCAGTGCCGGCGGCAGCACCCAGTATAGCTGACCCAACCATTTTACTGAAACAAAGGGTAGGTGATGGGTACGTCTTTTATTATTATTATAGAAATAATATATAGAAATGATAAGAATATTATACGTAAAGTAGGTCAACACCCCTAATTACAACAGGTGCTTTTTGAAAAACGAACAAGCGTTAATGGCCACACTCATAGTGGACGAAGCACATATTCGTCTGTTAAAAATAATTGCTTCAGACACTAATTAGAGGTGAATCACCTTCGCTTTAATTAAAACGATGTTATACATATAGATAGCTTTAAATAAAATAAAAGCGATATTGACCAAAACAGTATTGTATGAAAATAAATAAAAGTAAAGCAAAAATGCTGGCATGCAAAGGAAGAAAAAATAGGGAAAGAGTGAATATAATGATATGGGAGTAAGAATTAGAAGAAGTGGCTGATTTAAGGTATCTAGGAAGTCAGGCAACTCAGGACGGAAGGAGTAGCAGGGATATAAAGTAGAGAATAGCGCAGGGTAGAGTCGCCTTCAATAAAAAAAAGTCACTTCTATGCTCGCGAACGATTAATTTAGAAATTTGAAGAAGATTGTTAAAGTTGTATATTTGAAGCGCGGCGTTGTAGGGGTGCGAAACATGGACAGTGGGCGTTGCGGAAAAGAAGAGGTTAGAAGCGTTCGAAATGTGGTGTTACCGGCGAATGATGAGAATACCGTGGATAGAGGTTAGAAATGAAGAGGTATTAGAAAGAATAGGAGAACAGAGGACTCAAAGGAAGTCAATAAAAAATAGGCGAGATAGGTTGGTAGGTCACCTTCTCCGGCATGAAGGTCTAGTCAGATATATATTAGAGTCCGAAACAGGAGTTAAAAGGAATACAGATACACTTAAAGTAGATTACTGCTCGCAAATAGTTAAGGATGCGGCATGTTCTAGTTTTAGGGAAATGCGAAAATTAGCTCAGGATAGGAAAGAGTGGAGATACGTGTCCAACCAGTCTTAGGACTGACGACCTTGTGATGATGATGATACATATCTTATTATTATTGAAGGCTAAATTCTCAAATAAATTCGAAGTATCTAGGTCAAGTATTGTTTAAGAAAAACAACCCTAACTAACCCGTCACTGAAGAAACGATTTCTTCTTAAAATGCGGAATTAAATAAAAAAAGGTTATCCCTGATAAAACCCAACGCGTTCCAAAAAGGAATAATGCAATGTATTCTATTATCTATCACAATAGCATTAATCTCACGTAGTATGGACCCACTACCTAGCGTAACCAAAATTTGGAGAAATCATTTCTAAAGAAGCTTTGGTTAGTGAAAATCTTTGTTTTCCTCTTGAATTTAATTATATTTAAATTCGTATAAGGGCTTAAAATTGTCTATAAGTTTTAGTTTTGGCTGATTAAGTGTACTATCTGCCAACCTCGGAAGACCCTACTGCTTTTTTACGGAGGGTTATCATTAAAACTTCTGCGGTGACCTTTAAAGTGAAGTCTTTGCAATTCTAATTACAATTCTATCAAGAAACAAATTAACGATGTGAAACTTTACAAAACGAACATGGGATGAGGAAGTTTGGATAACTGACAAGTTTTAATCAAATTAGTAGATAGCTTTACTTAAGATCGAGTCAATAAAGTTCTTATTTCGAAAGCCATGTCAATATCGGCTAGAAATTTAAGCGGCGCTTTGTAAATACCTAGCAATAATTGTTTTCATTTGCTTTTCTAACTTAAGAAAACTCTCAAATTTAAGGTAAAAACGTACATCAAGATCTGAAAGCACCCACTCAGGGGTATGCAGTTTACTACGTAATCCAAAAAAAGTTTAAAATAAATCCGGATATTAATTAAACGTACCAATTTGAATCAATTAGTTTATTTTTACTTTCGTTGTATAAAGTTGAACGTTAGCTTTCAGAAAGTTATGTTCCAAGCAATTAACGATTGTTTCGCCTTACTTTGGTTTCATCAGAAGTATAAGAATGTTGTTAGAACGTTTCACTTACTTCTGCTAAGGTTATAATGAGTCTTAACAATAGTCAATGCATTTAATATAATTTTGAGGAAATTATCAATGAAAGTTACTCATTCATAAGATAAATAATAACTTAGTTTAATTGCGGCTGCCTAACTTTAAATTTTTGACAATAAATTATTTGAACTGATGCCGTTGTCTATTGGAGTTGCTTCCTAACGTTTCGCTAGCACGAGTGGCAAACTTCTTCAGAGGTTCTTCCATTCCCAATGCTGGATGCGGACTAGATTATTTCACCCTACAAGGTTAGTAGTTCACACTTTCTGTTTTATTTAATATTTCCAATTATTATAACATAGTTAACCAGTTTTCCCAATTAAATTATAAAATAGGTAATATATCCCAATTTTTATTTACAGAAAAATTATATTCGACGTTGTTCATATGACGTCAAAATCTCGAAGTAATTTTTGATGTACTTATCCTTTATTTTCTATCGTTGAAGAATCGTTCAGTTTGTCCCACATGTACTAAATTACAAGTGTTAAAATTTAATTTGATAAGCGATTGTTTTACTTATTAAAGGGATGTTATTTTAGTTTTCTTCTATATTAATACATGATGACATTGTTCCGTGCCTCAGTCAGTATAACAATGAATACAAAGTAGGCACTTGTTAATAGCAACAAGTTTTCCGAGAATGTAGGTACGTCTAATTTAACGATAAGCGAAATAGATGTTAATTTACATGCAACCTTCAATTAGAAAGAGCTAGTGCCTAGAAAATAATTAAGTTTCACTCCAAACTCTTAATCAATGTAGATTAACTTCTCAAAGGTCATTTGCAGAAGATCTTCCTTGTCTCATTTTGAGATCGGTTTAGTAGTTCTATGAAGGCTTAGCTTTGGAGAGACTACGAAGGACCTCTCTAGTGCTCTTTGTAGAGCTGCGGGCTACGAATACTATTACGAATATTCTCCGAGAAGCGAAGTATGAGTCGGATTTACCGTTAAAGTAAGAAAATTGAAATGGATAATAAATTGTCCCCGGGTACGGCTGCCAGCGTTAAGGAAAATAATTTAATTGAGAATTTTAACGGTCGCTATTTCTGTATCAAAAAAAAATGCTAAAATATGGATACGAATTTAATGGTAAACAAAAGGGAAATCATAATATACCCTACAGCACATTTATGCGAAGATATTTCTTACACGTGGCCCATTTCGGTAATAATGTTCGCAACAGTTGATTAACATTTACAAGAGCTTCCTGAATGTCATCTATTCACAAGAGTTTACCTTCACAAACTCACATTTTTTTATATTTAAAGGAATTTAAAGTACGTACTGTAAAATTATTAAGAAATTGCTTTTACGTCATCGACAAAGGACGTATGGGAAATTACCACAAATGGCGCTGTAAACGTCATCTGTAGTACGATTGCTACAATTATGGTTGAGGTTAGCTACGCCGGGATTCGTTTCAGCAAGTAGATATCCATATATTTAAATGGACCTTGTTGGAGCATACGTAATCCTAAAATGTAGCATCGTACTACAGATGGCGTTTACNATCTCTTTCTTTTATATCGATCCTTCTTTTATCCTTAAAAATAAATAAATTCTTATTTGCAAAGTTTCTGTGTTGTGATCTTTATAGAGAATTTCCTTGATGTAGTTTTCCAGATAATTCAATAAAACTTAAACAGAGTTACAATTGCTTAAATAATTTCCGAATTAATGACTTGAATGAACTGTAAATTATTTGGAACGCAATAAGTTTAACATTTCCATTATGCAAATTTATTCATTTTCTTCATCAAAACATTTTCAAGCAGCATTGTGACTTATATAATACAGTTTGTATGTATTACGACGCAGTACTTTTACGACCAAGTCGTAAAAGAACTAAATTGATAGCCAGTACACAATAGAATAAAGGATTGTCTACCTCTTATTCAGTTTCTGGTTTGCTTAACATTGTTTCTATTCATATATATATATATACTTGTATTATTTTCTTCTTTCAACTTAGTAACTCTAGACTAGAGCGCTTGCTGATAGAAGGCCTACTTTTATTCGTAGCAGACGTAGGGAATATCGTAAACATAGAAAAGAGATGTCAGGTAGGAATTGCAGCGGACACTAACAAAGAAAAAGGAATTATATAAAATTGGTTGCTGTATAACATGATTAAGTAGTTATATCCTAAACTAAACTTATGAATTCGCTCATTATGACAGTATTAATAAGAAAGAAGATAAGAGAAACGTATGAGACGTACGATAGAAGTCAATGAGGAAGAATCCAAAAAATGGAAATTGGAAAAAGACAGAAGTTTGTGGAAAAACTTGGAAAATTTAGCCGTAGACATTGATAAACAAAAAAGGAGATAAAAAGAGAGAAATAAAAATTCGTACAGGAACATAAGATATGAAAAGTGTTATTTATTTTATAATATAAATTGGTAAAAAGTGTGAGTACAACTGACTTGTTTATAATTTACTAACCGACTAACTTGTTTTAACAACATTCCACTGTTTATCAATACATATGCGATTACCCCAGTAGCACACGACATTGGCCCAATATTTATTCTACGAGGGTGGATTGATAAGTTTCCGGCCTAACCAAGAGATGACGCCACTAGGCCTACCTTGAGGTGACATTCTATAGTACCATCCTTGGATAGCTTGTAGCTATAGTTTCAGCCCGATCTCCTTGCTAGTGTAGGTTTGACAGC